AAGATATTGATCTGTCATGCAATAACTTATCTGGGAAGGTTCCTGAATTTCTCGGTGAGATCAAAGGGCTAATGCGTCTCAATCTTTCTTACAACGATTTCGAGGGACAATTACCGATGAACGGAATCTTCCAAAACGCAACATCCTTTTCAATTGATGGAAATATCAAGCTTTGTGGTGGTGTCTCAAAATTAAACCTACCTTCATGCACTATAAAAAAATTTCATAGCCCTAAAGTGATTATCCCTTTAGGTAGTGCACTAGTATTTGTACTCTTTCTATCTTGTTTTGTAGCAATCTTTATGAGAAAAAGATTAGGAAAGAAAACTTCAAGAGAAAGAGTTACTACAAAGGAATTGGAACTGAATATTTCCTACTCGGAAATTGTGAGGTGCACCGGTGGATTTTCCGAGGATAACTTGATTGGCACGGGAAGTTTTGGTTCTGTATATAAAGCAACTCTTGTAAGCAATGAAGCAGTTATTGCTGTAAAAGTGTTGAATCTTGAACAGATAGGAGCTTCAAAAAGCTTCATTGATGAATGCAATGTTCTGAAAATGATAAGGCACCGCAACCTACTCAAGATCATAACTGCTATCTCAGGTATTGATCATCAAGGTAATGACTTCAAAGCACTTGTGTATGAATTCATGTCGAATGGATGTCTAGAAGAATGGTTGCATCCTAAGAATGAGACAAAAACACTGTCTTTTGTGAAAAGACTGAACATAGCAATTGATGTTGCTTGTGCACTTGAATATCTTCACCATTATTGCGAAATTTCAATTGTTCATTGTGACATAAAGCCGAGCAATGTACTTCTTGACAAAAATATGGTAGCCCATGTTGGTGACTTTGGTTTAGCTACATTTCTGTTTGAAGAATCATGTGATTCTCCTAAACATTCAACCATGACAGCTAGCTTAAAGGGCTCTATTGGATACATTGCACCAGGTATATATTTTCCTTAAGTACTATCTTACTATTGTCACGTACCGGTCTGTCTTAAGTTTTTGGAGACTCTGTGTTGATTAATTATAGTTCAACCGTGATTAACTCGGTTACAAATTATGCAGAGTATGGAATGGGTGGACGCGCGTCTGCAGTTGGAGATGTTTACAGTTATGGGATACTACTGCTAGAGATTTTCACAGGAAAAAGGCCAACTGATGAGATGTTTGAAGGTGGCATAGGAATTCAACAATTTACAGCCTTGGCTTTACCAAATCATGTCATAGATATAATTGATCCTACATTGCTACATGATGAAGAACTCGATGGATATAATGAAGATTATAGCGATGAGATAGCATTAAGGTATGAGAATGAACTTGGAGAGTTGTCTAGTATGGAGAATTGTTTGGTTTCTTTGTTGCAGATTGGAGTGTTATGCTCTTCAACTTCACCAAATGAAAGAATGCATATGACTGAAGTTGTCAACAAACTGCAAGCGATCAAGAATTCATATTTAAGACTTAATGAGTTAATTTAGCATTGATGATGAGTGAAAAAGAAGAAAGGGAAAATGCTTTTGTAATTAAATTATTTTAAATTAATGTATACTACATATTGAAACACAGTGGTTTTTTTTTACATCATAAATATTATTGTGTTTAAATATGCATCATATTTTTATGTATTTTTCAGTAAATAAATCTCACTAATAATTTTTTTTAATGAAAGGTAATATATTAAAATAGAAGATTGATACACAAAAAGTTGGGGAATTTGACCAAAATTTTTAAAAAGACAAATCTAATTTATTTTTTACGTAGTCATTTCTAATATTAATAGGTATAGTTAAAAAAAATAAAGATCTTAAATGTGCGGCCTAAATTAAAAAATAAATAAAAAAATCCGCACAACCATTTCCTTCTTTTGTAAAAATGCAAAATGATAAATGACATCTTCAAAAATCAAAATAACCTTGTTGGAAGCTTGGAGGGGACTAATTCAAATTTGGAAGAAGAGAAGGCTTGACCACAATCAAAGAATCTAATTCCACCCAAAGATTCTTCCATCTTTATCTTTATCAATTTCAATGCGACGAAGAACACCACAAAACACAGACAACAATGAGTTTCTCCAAGAGAGTGGTTCAGCAAATGCCAAAGTGAAGAGGCCCGAACTCAACCTAAAAATTCCCTCACAGTCGGCAGAACTAAGATTAAAAGAGAAAGCTCCATCAACATTACATTTTATCCGGTTCATAGGAGGAGGGTTTCAAAAAAATTCTTTGATAACAGGTGTCCTTGTAGGATGAACGAGGACATTAAAGGCCTTAAGAGTTGCAAAACCAAACTCTGAGAAAGAGGGATATAAGTGTTCCAAATCGAAGCTGGCTAAGGAATAAGAGATTGAGGATGGTGCTTAAGTGATAGGCTTCTTTTAATAACAAAATGTCATTATTAAAGTCCTCCCATGACAACAAATCACCACACTCAACAAACCAAGTAATGTCTCAGGTCCTATCCTCTAAAAAAGGAAATAAGTCCAATCAAGTTGGGAAGGACCAACTGCCATCAACCAAAAAGTCTGAGTGTTAGCGCGTGTGTATATATATATATATATATATATATATATATATATATATATATATATATATATATATATATATATATATATATATATATATATATATATATATATATATATATATATATATATATATATATATATATATATATATATATATATATATATATTATTGAATCGGATACCTTAAAACTAAGTATAAACAGTTTCTTAATAATCAAGAAATATATTGTGAATCGGATACCTTAAAACTAAGTATAAACTGTTTCTTAATAATCAAGAAACACACAATGGTTAGGGTTAATAAAGAAGAAAACAACAAGGATTGGTTATTAAACAGTTATTCTTTCCTTTCTCTTAGAACAAGATTACAAGTATACAAGAATAACAAAATAACATTTCTCTCTTGAAATTAGGATTTTTATCTTCCTATTTTTCCTTATGACAGGATTGAGAAACTAGTATCCTATTTATAAGAAAAATAGCACACTAACCTAATGGGATTTTTAACAATTACCCATTACAAACTAACTTAGGGTACAAGCTAACTTAAACAATTGAGCTTACAAGCAAGGTCCAATTCAACATGCTAACAACCCTAGCAATATTGACTAATGCATGTTAAGACAAACTTCGACTACAACACGCATTACTCGCGAACAAAATTCAACCATACTAGAGTTCGATCCAACATCTCACAAATCTCCACCTTGGATCTAACTCTATAACATCAAGAAACTAGCTTTCTTCATGCAGCTTTATTAACTGCATACAGTGGAAAAACTTGCAACTAGGCAACGTCTTGGTGATCATATCAGCAGCATTATGATCTGTCGAAATCTTCAGCACTTGGACTTATCCACGCTTGATTAAACCTCTGATGAAATGCAGCCTCACATCAATGTTCTTGGTTCGCTCATGATAGGCTGAATTCTTCGACAGGTGTATTGTACTTTGACTATCACATTTAACAGTGATAACTCGACCTTGAAGTTTTATCTCCTTTGCAAAACCTTCAAGCCACAATGCTTCCTTCACAGCTACAGTTAGAGCAATATACTCCGCTTCAGTGGTTAATAAGGCAACGACCTTCTAAAGTGTTGCTTTCCAACTAATTGTTGTCCCAAACATAGTGAACACATATCCAGAGATAAATTTTCTGGAATCCATACAACCTGCATAATTAGAGTCGACATATCCTTCGATTGCTGCTTTACTATCTTCACCCAAGGCTCCACCATAAATTATGACTCTATTCAGAGACTCATTTATGTACCTTAAAATCCACTTCGATGCTTGCTAGTGAGCCTTTCCAGGATTCATCATGTACCTGCTTACAAGACTTACTGCATATGCTATGTCGGGTCTAGTACAGACCATAACATACATCAAAGAGCCTACTATGTTAGCATATGGAATGCTATTCATATAAGTTCTTTCAACATCAGTGCTGGGACACTGATATATACTCAACTTGAATTGAGGGTATGTCGGAGTCACAACAGGCTTTGAATTCGACATACCAAACTTTTCGAGAATCTTCTGTAGGTATGCCTCTTGAGATAAGCATAATTTCAACTACTTTCTATCTCTCCAGATGTCAATCCTAAGAATCCTAGACGCAACTTCCAGATCCTTCATGTCAAACTCTTTATTGAGTTCAGCCTTCACCCTCATTACCTCTTCGACATTGTTGCTTGCTATTAGAATATCATCCATATAGAGAAACAAAATAACAAATGAATTACCCGGTCGAAATCTGAAGTAAACACAGTGGTCAAACTGACTTCTGGTGAAACTTATGCATGTCATGAACTTGTCGAATCTCCTATTTCACTGTCAAGGAGATTGTTTCAGTCCATATAAAGATCTATTCAATTTGCACACATAATCTTCCTTCCCCCTTTCGACATACCCTTAAGGTTGCCTCATCAGGATTGTCATCTATATCACCATACAAGAACGCAGTCTTCACATCCATCTGTTCCAGTTCAAGGTCGAACTAGGCCACCATGGAAAGCAACATTCGAATGGATTTGTGCTTCACAACAGGAGAGAACACATCATTAAAGTTGATACCTTCTTTCTGAGTGAACCCCCTAGAAACCAATCTTGCCTTGTATCTCTTCGATGTCACTCCTTTGATTCCTTCCTTAACTTTGAAAATCCAATTACAACTAACTAACCTGGCTCTAGCAGGTTTCTTGATTAGTTCCTAAGTGTTATTATTATGAAGAGATTTCATCTCATCATCCATGGCCTTCAGCCATTCAGTCTTCTTTCGACTCCTCATAACTTCCTTATAGTCTCTAGGTTCTTCATCTAGAACCTCACTAGCAGAGATTAAGGCATAAGCTATAAGATCTATATACCCAAGTCTCTGAGGTGGCTTGATGACTCTCCTCGACCTGTCTCTTGATAGCAGGTAGTCATTATCAGTTTCCTCATCTTCGACAACATCTTCTGGGTCTTCTTCGACTTCATCTGGGGTAACCAATTCAGTATCAACATGCTCCACCTCAACAGGAATCTCTTCATATTCCAGCTCTTTGTCAGCATCATCAGTTTTCTTGGAAGCCATCTCAGCTTCATTGAAAACTACATCTCGATTGGTGATACACCTCCTGTGACCTGGCTCTAGGCACCATAGCCTATAAACTTTAACTCCTTCAGGGTATCCTATGAACATGCATTTCAGAGCTCTAGGTTCGACCTTGTCTTGCCTAATGTGAGCTTAGGCCAAACAGCCAAATACTCTCAGTCTGTCGAGACTAGGTACATGTCCCGACCAAACTTTTTCAGGTGCCTTCATTCCCAAGGCAGTCGAGGGACATCTATTTATCAGGTAAGCTGTTGTCAAAACAACTTCCGCCCAAAACACCTTCTTCAATCCAGCACTAACCAACATGCATCTAACCCTTTCAATGATTGTTCGATTGAATCTCTTAGCTAAGTCATTTTATTGAGGAGTACCTGCTACAGTCTTATGCCTTGTAATCCCAGACTCAACACAGTAACTGTTGAACGCTTTGTTGCAGAATTCAAGGTCATTGTCGGTTCTCAACCTTTTAACCTTTCTTCCAGTTTGAGTTTCGACCAGAATCTTCCAACTTTTGAAATTCTCAAAAGTTTCATCCTTCGTCTTCTGAATGAATACCCATAGCTTTCTGGAATAGTTATCAACGATGGATAGAAAATACATTGCACCTGAGTGTGAAGGATTCCTTGCAGGCCCCCAAAGATCAGCATGAATGTAATCCAGGGATCCATGTGTTCTTTGCTTGCCTTTGTTAAACTTCGCCCTACAGGATTTACCGAATATACAAGATTCACAAAATTCTAACTTTTCGACTTTGTCACCTCCTAGCAGGTTCTGCTTCCCCAATTCGACTAGGCCTCTTTCGCTGGCATGGCCCAATCTCATGTGCCATAATTCTGTCTTCGACATAGGGTTCATGGATGGAACATTTGTCGAACCACTTACAACCTCAGCCTCAAGGGTATACAAGCCTTGTTTCTTCACGCCTCTCAAGACTTCCTTCGACCCCTTCATGACTCTTAGGATACTTTTCTCTCCTTGAAAAAAGTATCACTTTCTGTTGAATTCTCCAAGAGAAATCAAATTTCTCTTAAATCCAGGTACGTACCTGACTTCAGTCAATAACCTTATTGACTCATCATGGAGCTTGAATCTCACAGACCCAATACCTGCAATTTTGCAAGATTTGTTATTTTCCAGCAACACAGATCCACCATCTTGATCACATAGCTCCTCGAACAATTCTCTATTTTGAGTCATGTGCCAAGTGCAACCTGAATCCATAATCCACTCTTTCCTCGAGTCGCCACTTGAAACCACAAGAACATTAGATGAGTCGAAGTCAACTTGAATAATGGCTGCATTTCCATTACCTCCATGATCTTTCAGGCGTTCAGGGCACACCTTTCTTATGTGAC